ACCGAGAACACAAACAGTACAATTCAAAAATAGGAGCAGAGTTCAGTGCATTACACAGATTTGGAATCAATGCTTTCAATAAAACATATAAAATCTAGTTGCCAATAAATACACAAAATGATTGTATTGTGCTTATTCATTGGAATTGACCAATTCTGGATTGCTGAAATATTCAGTCGTATGCAAAAGTCTGGGCATGCCTGGTCAGATCACATGTTCAGTAAGTTCAGCAAATAAATAGAAATTATGGACAAAAATATGAGAAAAGATCCCAAAATATATAAAAAATACAGTTCATTGTACATAGTATATTGTAATATCGTATATAAAATATAAATTATAAAAAATTAAAAAATACATTACATGTTTTGTTGATCCTCTACAGAGAAAAGACATCTGCACATTTTAATGCACAATTACTGTTTACTGCCTGAATTTAACATATTGAGAAAAAATACAACTAAAATGTGGCCCGTGCAAAAGTTAGGTCACATTTTGTATTTTATTTGTTTTACTTATTTTTCTATGCGCTCAACTGAAATTTTCAGAACTTATTTTATTAGAAAATCAAATCAATATGATCAAGGGTGCCCAAACCTGCATAAAACTGCAATCGTCATTGTAGCTCCATATTTGTAGACTGCAGATTTAAGGCTGCAACAATTAGTTGACAAAGTTAATGATGTCAATGATGAAAAAACAATATGGATTTTTGATGCACTGTTAACCTAAAAAAGCACTCTGTAATGTTTATTATGCTCCTGTGACACACATGCATAACAGACCGCAATACGCTACAATAGCACGGAGGCCGATGTGGTTTCTACTGTTTTACAGCACCGTAAAAGCAGAAATGGCTTGTCAAACGAATTGAACTTTGATTGATGGCAGTGGGAAAACGAAATAAGCTGAAGATGCATAATGATCATATCAGGTGAGTCATCAAATAAAAGTCAGTTATTAAAATAGTCATCAGTTGCAGCTGCAGATTGCTGGGTTAGTTCAAAAAAGACCCCCTTTTACTCCTGACCTTGACTGAGGTTCTAATGCTTTAAGACATCTCAAGCCCCTCATAATTTACTAGAGATGACAGTATGACAGTGTGTTCTAAATGTAAATGTAGTGTGAATGCAGGGAGACACGTGTGGATGGTAAACAGGCTCTTGGCTGCACGCTTTACTGCAACATCACCACAAACTAGTCTACATCAATGGCAGCCTCTCAGGCTGAACTTCCACCAGACTCACTTCATAAATCATTCCAAAAACATATCCCTGACCACACACACACACACACACACACACACACACACACACATCTCTCTCCATTATTCATCTGCTTCATTCCCTCTTCACACAACACACAAACACACTTTCAAAGATTACTGCACAGCGGTAACACCTCCAGACACCCTGCGCATCCGTAACACCTCCGCATGGAGTCAGAGCTGAATCCTCCTACTGTGGCCATGCAACTATTGCACTGCCCTTAATGAGCAGTCCAACTGGCCAGGTCAGCACGAATGACCTGCGTGTGGGGTGGCAGCCATAGAGAGGAAAAAGGGAGAAAGAGACAGGATATGAGAGAGAGAGAGAGAGAGAGAGAGAGAGAGAGAGAGAGAGAGAGAGAGAGAGAGAGAGAGGTGTGAGAGAGAGAGAGAGAGTAGTTACAGTGGAGGTAAAAACATGTTGCTTTTCACTCTCTTACATCATGTGGACTGGTTGATATCTGGGGAACGGTTATGCAACTGGACAGCGGCCTGCTGCGGCTCTGTGCTTAGAGTTCCTTTACAATCAGCCACTCATAAACCACAAGGATCAATTAAAACCAAGCTTATTATTCAGTTTTTTTTATTTTAATACTTATTATTCAGGTATTGTGAATAATTATGAAAAATTACTACTAAGAAACCAATATGTAAGTTATTATATTATATGTATAATAGCCTACAAATTAGTTTCTTAGTATGTATATGTAATTACTGCCAACAGTTCTTAGAGTTTGCCACCTTGAACTCTAGACTTATTTTTCAGTAACTATAATAAATTATTCAGTAAGCACTATAAACCATTCAGACTACATTGTGTAATCATGAGAGTGAGGAACTGTCATCTGCATAGAGACCGCAAGGGTTTAAGGGGTTAAAGGATTATATACATATAAAAAATTTTCATTCATCCTACATACTTATCCAACAATTTAGTCATAGGCATGATATTAATATCAGTGTGGGTCCCTGGGCAGAAAATAACTACCCATTTTTAGAATGCATTTTAGAACTGCATCCTTGGAGTGCACATATCTGTTTCTGATTACGCTCTTGACTGTGCGTTTTCCACAGACAGATGGTGATGCCCACACTCAGGAGAAACCACATGCATACCAACACTGCCAAGCTGACCGCACCCATCTCTCGGGCTCTGACCGCTCGCTCAAAGTGGCCCATTACTGCTGGAGCTGCTTACAAAGGCATATGGAACAGTACTTCATGTGGATATGCATTATGTGAAGATATTGACACAGAATTTGGGGGATGCCAAGAAATTTGTATACCACATCAGAATCAGTAAATATAACAAGTTATAATAGAGGTGCACTGACCATGAATATTTCGCCAATTCTCGTTTGGACTTCTTTTCAAACAAATTAGCCAATGGTCTATTTTTTGCCCGATTCTTATTAGCCTCTTTTTAATCCAAAGGTCATAATACGATGTACAATAACACAGGTTCTGTACTTTCTATAAGCAAAACTTTGAAAATAAACAACATTATTTGCTCTTTAATAAACCAAACTGCATTTAAATGTAAGAGGAGACTCACTATGCAGCACAATAACAAATGCATAATTATCATATAAAGTTATGGTATAAGTGTAGCAGCTTCATTCCAATAAAGTAAATGACAAAAATAAATGTTATTTACATCATAAAATTTCAACATAGATCTGCAAAAATAAAAACAATAAATTGGCAGATTACTGTTTTCAGAAAAAAAATCTGCTGATTCCAATCTTGACCGATTCAGATTGTGCTTCCCTACTTATTAATATATTGATATCAATAAATGACCTTATCTTATATTGATACTATTACTACTTTGGTACAATGTATTTTATATCACTCATCACTGACAAAATAAAGTAATCATTTTGAGATAATTATCATTAGCATTTCCTAATGCTAAATTTTAGCAGTCTGAGTAGTACTCTGGACTGTGAAGAAGACAAAAGGCTTATTCTGATTGCTCTGAATTACATCTGATTTAAAGGTAACCAACACCTGAATTTGTCTCATGTTTATTAAGCAAATTTGATATAGCTTGTACAAACACGTCATAAATAGACCTGAGGGGAAAAAACAAAACATAAAAAATAAGTAGGATATGGCCCCTTTAAGAAAACTGCTTGTTCTGAGAGATGATCCTCAAACTCCTTCTTACAGTTCCTTCAAAAATGAAAATAGCCAGGCTCCTAAGTCTGCTAACATGCTGGCAGAGCCAATTTTAAGGGGAGCCTGGCCACTTTCCAGTCCATTTCCATTATAACAAGAACATTACCGCAGAATGCTAATGGCTGCCCACAAGCAAGTCCTCAATGAATAGAGAAGTTAATTTAAATATTTTTCTAGTCTTTCATGCGGGAATTTCCTTTTGTTTTGGAAAGGAGAAGAATATATTACATAAAATCTATCAAAACCTATCAGTGTCTTTCCATTTTTCTATAGCAAATAGGTTTTGGGCAGAATGATGCTAGTATTACTGTTACTGACTGGTATTACGGAGTGCTGACTGGTTGAGAAAGTCCCATAATTGGACCTTCCCCACCAGTCAGCACTCAGTAGTGGACAAAAATACAAAACCAGTGATGAAATATTTGTATATGTTGTCCTGGGTTGAACAAACAAATGCATTCGCCTGCACTCTATGGCCTAATGAAACTGGAAAACATAATTAAGTGTCAGTTCTTCTATCTACAAACTCTCTGATGCTGGTTTGTGCTGTTGTGAGTGAATGACTGGACTTCTTCTCCCTCCCCAAACAGGGCACATCACCAACTACTGTACCAAAGTAACAAAGTCTAAGGCTTTGCTGCGATATACTGGATGGAACAGAACAGCTTAATCATTTTGAAAATACCTTAAATGTATATTATTTATGTCTAAAAATGTTTAATGATTAGTCAGACTGTCTTATTGCTCAAGCTTCACCGACACCTATTCAGTATTAGAGCCTGATCAATATTCAGCATGACCGCACTAATAGACACAGAACACCAACCTTATCACTAGTTACGTTTGAGGCAACTGCAGAGAGAATGTTTATTTCCATTGCAATAATGCACCTCTTCAGCATTATGCTGTGTATAAAAGTTTGAACACCAGTAAGCCCTTGAGACGACATGAAGCAGCCTGTTTGTTTTTGAGAATCATTAAAACCTCTTATTTAATCCCACTCTTCACTTGGGAGGCTATAGGGTAAACAGTCAGCAAACCTGGAAAGCCTGAGCAGCTCGTATGGTGCACCACACCCCCAACACTCCACTGAGTTCAGGAGAGAAATCACGGTGAACAAGGCAAAACAGTGAGCGAGTATGAACTGCCCTTATTAGCGATCTCTCCACCACCCTTCAGGCCTACTTATCGTTCCATTCAAAGCCTGTTAAGCACCTCTCCTTGCTCTCTCTGTCTGTAACACAAACACTCACTCTTCTCCATTACTCACTATTAGCTTACACACTGTATAATGAGAAGGAGTGTGACAGAGAGTGTAAAAAGCTAGTAAAAGTCAACAGCCTTCTAGAGTCTGCAGTCTGCTGAAGATGGAGCTCCATCCTGAGACAACGCCTGAGGGCACAATCTCTCATTTGCTGTTCTCCCATATATATCTGTTGGCTTACTTCAGATCTACCGGAGTCAAAACATGTATAAACTGCCTGAGGGAAATCGTTTCAGTTACAGTAAGTGGCAAAGGATCAATTACATGTGGGACATGCTGGCTTACCGTTATGTAGGCGTTCAGTTCAGGGAAGACTCTGTATGCCCCACAGATAGGGGACAGCGGGCATCTGTTAGGGAAAGAGGAAGTCACAGCACAAGAGACCTCAGGGAAGGAGATGACCCTAAACCCAAACTTCTCATACAGACGCTGCAGCTCTTCATCAGGCTTCTCCTCATCCTCGCTCAGGATACTCCCCACTGCGTACCGACAACAATCAGCCTCAGTCTGAGCGCGCGAGAGAGAAAGAGAGAGAACAATGTGTTAAAAACACAGTCGCATGCAAAGGCATTTGGTCACATTACAAGCTATGTTGATTTTCTAAGAGAAAATAAGTGAAAGCTCACTTCTGCACAACTGAATGCACAACTACTGCTTATGTACTGAATTTAACATACTGGAAAAAAAAAACAACATAAAATGTGGTCTGTGCAAAAGTTATGGAACATTTTATGTGTTTTATTATTTCCAATAGGTTAAACAAAACAGCAACGGAAATCAACAGAAGCCGAAATCAAAAACAAATAAACAAATTTTATACAAAAATTGAAAAAATGTCAATTTTAAGTGTGTTCCCTGCAGAGAATCTCTTAACTTATGACAAAACATATAATTTGACTAGGGGTGTTCAAACTTTTGCATAAGACTGTACATCAACATACTTGAAGATATTTCCCCAACACATACTCTAATGTTGAAAAGTGTGGAATCACTTGTCATATATTAATTTCTATTCAACATTGATTTATACAGTGCATATTTAAACACTTTAAATTAAAAACTAAAATGTAAACCAACAGTTTATTCATAATTTCAAGTATTTTGGAAACAATGAGAAGTTAGTAAATGACATGGTAACAAACAATAGTAAATATTCTATTTATATTTATTATTAAATAATAAACTGTAAAGATGTATTTATAGTAATATATTGTCACAATGTTATTATTAATAGCTGTTTATCAGTGAGATTTGGTCACTACTTTTTAAATATAAGGCATTCCGTGTGATCATTATATTGTATGCTATGCAGCATTCTCACTTATTATGGAATCATTTATAGCTCTGTTCATTGTAGAAATGTTTATAGCTTCCTACAAACTGATTGGAACCTTCATAATATTGTCATGCCAGAATCATGTTATACTTGTATCTGCAACAAAATTGCTTTCGTAATAATCAAAACACTGTTACAACTTCTAAATGTTGATTCCGAACTCTTTGATGGTAGTGTATCACAATATAGATAAAACCAGCACAACATTAGTGCCACATTTTAAAAAAAAATGTAAAAACTACATTCGGTGTTTTGTTGCACATCACTATATCTATTTAGACTGGACCAATTATGTCCTCATGTAGACAGCGACACTACTTGCACTCTTGCGATTGTTTTATTTCTTTTTTAATGAAACATACAATTTGGAAGTTTTCTTGAAGTACTGATGAACTCCATTACTGATGAATCCATAACACAATGCCACTTTTCTTTTCCAATACCTGCCAATACTGAAACTTTGAGTACAGACCGATGCAGATCAAATACTTTTTCTTTCATTGAAAATTACTAAGCCTTAAAATGACCTATTTCTAATTTAAGCACTGTCTGTATTCATGGCCAAACACCTCAATCTGTATATGATTTCCCCTCCAATGTCCAATCCAGGATTCTCTGCTGATATTGTCCTGGTACACAATTGGTGCCATCTCTAATGTCCACAATATTCTCAGAAAAGCTTATTGTGATATGGTTTATGGTGATTAAAATATCATATCTTCATCTTTAATGTTGGAAAAAAAAATCAACAAAAAATGAAGGGTTCGGCTGAGGGATATTCCACCACAGGCAACATTCTTTGTCCTGAGAATTCTAAACAGGCCCTATTGCACTCTGTTGAACTAATTAGGTTATTCCTACATGAGCTCATTAGTGGAATGAAGTGGTTTAATGCAGGGGTGTTCTCAACATCTGCATACACACTTTCAGAGGGCAAAGACTGAGCAGACTGACCACTGAACAGTGGGCTTCGCTTGGTGAAAGACTTTGAGCAAATCTGATAGCAAGCAGGGATTTTTTCCCCCCATTCCTTTGAACCATATTTTACCTAATATATTGTCCATTATGCATTCAGAAACTTCGTTTTTGCCACCTTTACCTCAGTAATATCCGCTGACAAAGTAGTAGTAGTAGTGTGGAGTATATTCATATGAATGTGTTTGCTTGATTTGTGACACAAACAAAATACAAATAGACAGTCATGTGCAAAAGCATTAGTCGGTCATAATAAATATTTTGTTTATTTTCTAGGTGAAAATAAGTTAACGCATCTTCTAGAAGGAACACACTTAAATATCACACTTTTCTGCAAATTTTAGTGAATACAAATTTTTCTTTCAGGGCATAAAATGTGACAAGTCTTGCACAGGCCGCAATTTATGTTTTTTCCCCCTCAATATGTTAAATTCGTCAAATAAACAGTAATTGTGCTTTAAAATGGGTGCTTTAAAAGGGTGCTCTGTGTAGAGCAGGAGTGCACAACTCTGGTCCTGGAGGGCCAGTGTCCAGCACAGTTTGGAGGTTTCCCTGCTTAAACACACCCACTTAACCAGGCAATAAACAGATAAGTGTAATCAGGTGTGTTGGAGCAGGTAAATCACCAAACTGTGCTGGACACCGGCCCTCCAGGACCAGAGTTGTGCACCCCTGCTGTAGAGGATGTGTTTATTTTTTTTTTACTTAGAAGATCCACAAATATAATTTGACTATGGTGCCCAAACATTTGCAAACAACCGCACAAATCTTTAGCTTTGTTAGATCCTGCTATTTACATATTGAAATAAAGACATTGTTTGGCTTGGTACAAAAGGGTTAACCAATAACTCATTCTGTGAGATACACCTAAAGGCCAGATTTACCATAGCATTTAGCATCTAAAAAGAATTTATAATGCAGTTTCACCATCAAAAGCAATAATTGGAGCATGATACATGCCTTCACCAACTAAAGAGTGGTTCAGTGCAAAATGCTCTAGTCTCAACATTACTCAAACTCTACTGCAGTATAAAGAATGAATACAGACAGCATGCACATGCTATAAGGCTATCAATCAGATTTTGTCTCGCGTAGCTATTAGTCATAGTGACCTTGTAAAAAAACAGCTGACAACAGCATTAAGAAACAGTGAACATCCCTGCCAGGCATGTATAACTGATGCATGTACTGGACTGATACTGTTCTAACATCCACTCACAAGTGCAGTGCGGTGAAATATTAATGACATAATCATGGCACTCAATGTCATTGAAAGTTGTCGTCTCTAATTGCTTGCAGTACAACTACAAGGCTCTGTATAGCCAATTATGTGAGACAATAAACTGTCAACAAAGGTGGATGCTGTTTGCCATTATACTGATGGTGCTAAGCTTCATCTGCTTTCATTACAGCTTCAGATCAGCTACAGCCAATTTAACTGCTTAAATGTCCAGGGCCCGCTGGCAGGCCCAAAGTTTTATTACACATCCGCCTTGGGGAGGTGATTCCACCTTGTGGAATCATCTGTACGGGACTCAGACAAACTTTCTACATTTAAAACTAGACTCAAAACTTATCTGTTTGCTAATATCAGTTGCTGCACTATTAACTCACTAATATCTCTCCATAAACGGCGCTCGCTCTCTCTCTCGCGCTCTCTCTCTCGCGCTCTCTCTCTCTCTCTCTCTCTCCCTCCCTCCCTCCCTCCCTCCCTCCCTCCCTCTCTCCTCACTGGGGCTTGGACCTGGATTTTTCTGTAAAGCTGCTTTGTGACAACACCTGTTGTAAAAAGCGCTACATAAATAAACTTTGACCTGACTTTGACATGTCTATAACCTAAGAATAGCTCAACCAGTTTGCACGTAAGTCCCTGTAGTTACAGAATAATAAGCCTTAGTATGTAGTAAGCCTGAGATTTTAAGGGACTAATTGGACAAAAAAGGGCACTGTGTGTCCAAAAGTGTGTAGTATGCAGCTCATCCAACATCTCTTCTGACATCAAGGGTATTAATAGGTATTTTGTCCCTCTTTGCTACAGTAACAGCCTCTACTCCTCTGACAAGGCTTTACACTAGACAATGGAACATTGCTGTGAGGATTTGATTGCATTCAGCCACAACAGAATTAGTGAGGTCAGCTACTGATGTTGGATGACTAGGTCTGGATCATAAACGCATTTGAAAGATATTTCAGCTCCATCACTCCTGATAACACAGTTCCACTGCTCCACAGCCCAATGCTGGGGAGTTTATACCCCTCTAGCATTGGGCATGGTGAACTTAGGCTCATGTGCAGCTGTGCCAGAACATGCCATTCTACTGGCAATGCTTTTGCATGGAGATTATTCAAGCTGAGTGTGCACCATTAAACATTTGCGTCAGGAATGGATGCACCTTAAAGCTGAATTCACTAATTTGAAGAGATGTCTGGATACTTTGGGGCATATATGTACATTGTATAGCTAAAACAGTAGTAGTAATAGTCATTATAAAGCCTGAAAGTCTGTCCTTTTGTCCATTTCTACAGATTCTAGTATGTTGTACAGCATGTTGTACAGGACTCAACATGGTTTTACTTGATTTAGGCATAGATGCTAATTGGTGAGCTTCTATTTTTGGTAGCTAACTTGGCCTCACAGCTCCACATCAAAACTAAAGAAGCAAACTTCAGACTCCAAACAATTATTTGCCAAACAGTCACTTAAAACGAGGAAGGGATTTCCCATTATCTAACTGCTGAGTTGAAAAACTTCTCTAGCTTCCTCTCTTTCTTTTTCTTTTCACTCTCCCCAAGTGTGTTCCTGTCCATCCGGCCTTAACGTCTCCTACGTCCTTTTGCATTTTTGCTTCTTTTAAGCATCTCCCCCTCTCTTCCTCTTCCTGCACTCTCTCGCTCTCTCTCTCTTTCTCCCTCCTCTGCAGCTTGTTACCCCAGCCTTCCAGTAATGATCGTATTCAGAGCTCTTGCCATCTCTCTCATCCCACACAGTTGTCAGCAAATAAAGTCGGAATTTCTACCGAGCGCTCCAGACAGCATCCCCGAGAGACTACAGGCAATTACAAGGAGCACAGAGGCCTCCATACAGCCTATCCTTCACCCTGATGTTTGTTTAGATCAGAGCATTTAGCATACCCAGAATAAAAAGAAAAAGAATATTTAGCTCCAATTCAAATAGAACCGTGTTCTTTCAGGCCAC